AGCATTTTATTCCCTTACTTGAATAGCCCTTTGCCCGTTACATGTATTTATTCTGACATGAAAGGAACTTACAAATTATGTTCAGAAAATTGATTTAATAAAAAAGGAATCGGACTTATTACGTCAGACATTTGCTTTTTCGAATGTATACCATGAGCCGCTTTCACACCAAGTACTTTGCCGTACTTAGTGTCGGCACCAAGTGCCCCCATGGAACTAAGTACAGATCGCGTTCACACCCGAATAAGTTCCCTGAGAGAAGATTACGCAAATGAGCCGCTGACGTCACTTCTTCTTCTTCTTCTGCTTTGGGTTTACTGGCAGGCCGCAAACCACTTCATGGCGTATACTGCCACCCGAAGGCCCCGGCTGGAAGTCCCCGGAGTCGGGGACTGGCTTCAGTAGAAGCTGCTGGGACTCCCAGCAGCTTCTACTGAAGCCTTCCGAGTAAATCGCCAGAACGCCGGCCTCCTCATCACTCCACCGCTCCCATGGTTTTTTTGTTGTTGCCATAAGTTATTCTCTCTCCGTTGGTGGCTAATGCTAATGCTAATAATGCTAATGCCAGTAAATACAATGGCGGCTTCACAAAACTTTTCAGAGTTTTACGGGCCCTGGTTTGCAATTCGCCCAGCCAATCAGAAATTGGTACTTTTTTCTCCCAGGATAGTACCACCTCTCAAGCAGGCACTAAAAATGGGGGTAAAAGTTCCTGGCACTAAGTACTCCTTTTGGTGTGAACGCAAAATAAGGGTTACTAACGGAACTAAACGGGAAAAGTACTCCGGTGTGAACCCGCCTACGAACATCCGGTACAGCTCTTTTTTTGTTTCCTTTACACAAAGAGGAAAGAAAGTGCTTTAGTTTAACCTCTTTCACTTTTGCTTTTACTTTAGCACTTTTACTTTAGCACTTTTACTTTAGCACTTTTACTTTACTTTACCACTTACAACTCTTGTGATGCCAAAGAAGAAAAGACATGAGTCAGTTTTCAGCTTCATTTCTTCAAACCCTACAGAGGAAATTCAGGCAGGCTTTCCCAATGCATGACTCAACAAAATCACACTTCAGACATAGCTGAGGCTTTCTCCTTTTCTCTCTCCCTCTCTCTCTCAACATTCTCAGTCCTTTAGTGTGTATCTAACGGGCGTCTACGTCATGTTCTCTTGAAGGCAGGGCAGTTAGCCCTGATGAAGCACTTATTTCTGATGACTGTGCACCTCCAGGAATGGCTCACTTAGCCGTTTCTCAGAAGCCTTCCTTTGTTGTGTGACATGTCAGTGTTGTTCCAGTAATTCGGCCCAAACTGACGCGCTCTCACTCTGCTGTTGTGGTTCTTCTCGGACAGTTTGGGATGCATTTGCTGCACATGACAAGGGCTGGCCTGTCCAGTGGGGGGCAGTGTATCTTTACCCCCCGCTGAGACAGCAACAACAACCACGAGGAGCACATTTAGAGGACGAGGTTTACCGGCTGCTTTTAAAACGAACGCCCTCTCTTGTACATGGAGGTGTGTGTGTGTGTGTGTGTGTGTGTGTGTGTGTGTGTGTGTGTGTGTGTGCAGGCGGTGCAGCAGCGCGGCGATGAGAGGAAGGTGTGTGTGTTGCAGCAGCAGATGTCCATGCTGCTGGAGGAGAGCCGAGGGAGCGCGGCGGCTCGCAGCGAGCTGGAGGCGCTTTGTAGAGAACTGCAAGGACACTACGACACACTGAGGGTGGGTAGATGAGTGTGTGTGTGTGTGTGTGTGTGTGTGTGTGTGTGTGTGTGTGTGTGTGTGTGTGTGTGTGTGTGCAGCTGTGTGTGTACTGCATAAACCAGAGAAACACAAAACTTACAACAAATGTCTGATTTTTATTATTGTTATTTTTGGTCAAAATGTGTTTTTTATGTTAACTTTGCTTCAACTTGTGGTCATTTGTTTCCGTTTGTATCCCTTTGTATTTGGTCGGTGTCTCTTTGGGCCTCTCTGCAGTCATTTTGTGTTTTCCTGGTTGTTGTGTTTCTCCTTGAGTGACATTTGGTAGTTTGACACTTTGTGCCTCCGGGCCTGATCCTGGTGGCCCCAAAGTTCATGGTTAGCAGCTAAAAATACATGCAGAATCTTAGAATACTGATACTGATAAAGTAAATCCTAATCCCCCCCCCCCTCCCCCTCCTCCCCCTTCAGGAGGAAACCCTGAAACGCTGCAGGGACGACGAGGAGAAACGGTCTGAAATTACCAGCCACTTCCAGAGCATGCTGACAGAAATCCAGTCTCAGATCGAGACGCACAGCACCCGAAACGACAAGCTGTGCCACGAGAACAGCAACCTGACCGACAAACTGGAGGGCCTGATGTCCCAGTGCGAGATGAGGGAGGAGGTGAGGGTTCAAAGGTCGACATAATACATCTTCAAAGACAGTAATAAGCCTCAAGTGTTGGGTTTTACGTTTTATAACCATAGAATGAGAATGAGAATCAGGTTTATTAGCAGGTCGGTTGGCACGTACGAGGAATGAGTAGTTTCTGTGGTTTTACATTTTAAAACCATATTAGAAGACTTAATAACATTTTTAACAGAAGCTCTGATGGTTTAACAATTTTAAAATTGGGTGCACATCCAACCCCACAAAATGGTTTCTTTAGGGGGTTATTTAGTTTGTAGAAAGTAACAAGAAGTGATATGTGACATTAACCTATATATAAGACGTTCATCAGGTCCATCGGTACAGAAAGAAGCTGTTAGTGAGTCTGATTCCTCGTCTCTCTGCAGAGTTTGGAGAAGATCAACNGGGTAGTGTGTTGGTGTTGGGATCAGGGGTCACAGGTTCAAACCCCACTGCAGTCAGCATGTCGTTGTGTCCCTGAGACACTTCACCCCAAAGTGCTCCTGTGGGGATTGTCCACAGCATTGAGTATGGAAGTCGCTTTGGATAAAAGTGTCTAACATGTAATATTGAATATTTCACTGACCAAACAGTTATTGAATTGATAAGACGTTCATCAGGTCCATCGGTACAGAAAGAAGCTGTTAGTGAGTCTGATTCCTCGTCTCTCTGCAGAGTTTGGAGAAGATCAACAAACACCGCGACCTGCAGTACAAACTGACCGAAGCCAAACTGCAGCAGGCCAACGCTCTGCTGACCGAGGCCGAGGAGAAGCACAGGAGAGAGAAGGAATACGTGAGTTAACGTCACCTAGAACTGACCTGGAGATGTGAAGAGATGAGATGAGAAGTACTTCATTCATCCCATTTTGGGACATTTTGAATTGCAGCAGCATGAAAAGAAAAGGCATTGTGCTTTAGAGAAATTAAAAGAATGTTTTCTCTGATCATTTCTTTTAGATGTGGCCCTTGCCCTCTTACGTAGTAATGGGTTATTTAAAAGCAACCTAACATAATTAAATAGAAGCTGTTGAAAAAACAAATGTAATTAAAGTCAACTTTTTAAATGTTTTGAGTGCAGTTTTTCACTGAATTACATTTTCACAGATATCTTTGTTAAATACTATTCCCAGATTGACTGTGTATTGTTTCTGTTGCCGTAGTTGCTTAGGGAGGCTATTGACAAAACAAAGAAATGCTACGCTATGAAGGAGCTGGAGCTGGCCATGAAGAAGAAGGTAAAGAAACGTCTTAATGTGTCTCTGTCTGTTCTCTCTAACCAGTTACTGGTTCAGGCTGCTGAGTGGAAACTTCAGACTCAAACACTCAGGGAACAGGGGAACTTGATGCAGGTGCAGGTGAATATTCACTGACAAGACTAACATGCTGACAACCAGGACAGGCCACACACACCTGGTGGAGCAGGAAGAGTTTTCAATTCAAAACAGAGGAAAGAGAGGGCTATAGGGATGTCGTATTTCTGTCTTTTACAATCACATGCGTGCCTTTAAGGTGATTTGAGAATAAGGTTTATCTGTCTTTCAAAGATGTGTATGTTTGACGAGTGAGAATTTGAAAATGACCACATAAATAAATGTTGCATCTTTAATTATTGTGACCAAATATGGTTTTATAATTATCCCGATACACTGCATTTATAGTGGTCTTGTTAACGGTCGGTCTAAGGTTAGGATACACTGTAAAATAATGTAAACTAAGGTGAACCCTGTTGATATAAAATAGTGAGAAAGTGCTGAATAGTTTGTTCAGTAAATAGAATTTGGAAGAATAGAAACAGCACCGTAATCATTTCGTTTTTCCTGAAATACATACATTTTTGTGGTTTGCTTTTAGACAGAAACCACCCTGAATTGTTCTCATGTCTGTCTCTGTTTAGGTCTTACTCTGTTTTCTCCATATGTTCACAGCTGACCCTGTATGCCCAGAAGTTTGACGAGTTTCAGGCGACGCTGTCCAAAAGCAATGAAATCTACGTCCGCTTCAAGAACGAGATGGATAACGTAGGTGGAAATAAACTGCGTGGAGCCTTAAAGAAATCTAAGTTTTATAATCTTGTTCGAGGGCTCCACTTACTCTGGGTATCAGAAATGTTGGGCGTATTCTTCTTGAACCTTTCCAAGTTTCCAAACCCTTTGATTTTAAACTACTCTCTTTTATAGATGTCAGACAAGATGAAGAAAATGGACAAAGAGTCAACTCTGTGGAAGACGAGGTTTGAGAACTGCAACAAGGCTCTGAATGATATGATCTCTGAGGTATGTTGATGATACGCCGCTGTTTGTCATTTTGAAAGTCCTGTTGATCCAAAGAACAATAATAATGGGATAACTCATTTTGCAGATAGAAACCATCATAACTGTTTGATTTCTAGTTACATCCCTTGATATCTAATTCTCTCCGTCGCTCTTTCTGTTTCAGAGAACCGACAAATGCAAAGAGTACGACATTTTCGTCCTCAAAATTAATAAGTTGGAGAGGTTGTGTGACGCCCTCCAGAAGGAGAGGGGGATGCTCTATGAAAAGATCAAGCAAATCAGCAAGAACAACTCCAACGTCTCAATGAAAATATTCGGTGACAAATCTTCTGACCTGAGTCCTTTTGAGCAGCAGGAGCTCCATGAGATCGGGATTGAGGACCCGGTGTTGACGGAGGATATGTCTCGTCTGAAGGAGGAACAGACAAAGCTGCAGGAGTTCGCCAACTCCCTGTTGAATGCACCTGCCCATGATGATGAAGAGGACAATAAGGAGGAAGAAACAGAAGACGACTTGGTGGCTTCTGCGTTTGACCATTTCCAAACCAAACCTCAGGTCAAGCAGGAGCAGGCGGTAGATGTGAAGTCAGAGGAATCAGTTGTGCCACAGTCAGATAAAGTTACGGAGCCAGCAGCGTCTTCACCAGTGGAGAAAACTTCTGAAGTGATTCCAACAGACACAAAACCAGAAGTCCCAACCCAGGTCATGGACAAAGAGGTGCAACCAGTCAAAGCAGAGGAGGAGATCCTGATGAAACCTGCTGAACCAACACCTGAGCCGGAGGAAGTCAAGATCGATCCACCGACAGATACAAAACCAAAAGAAGTAGTAGAGGCTACGGTTGAGGCTGAACCAGAAGAAGCACCTTCCGCTCCACCCTCCGAAGACACACCGAAAACGGCTGCCGCTTCCAATGACGAGTCCGTAAAGAAGCAAACCCCCAAGAAAAAGAAGAAGAAGAACGCCAAGAATGCAAGCTAAAGTTTTAAAGGTGTGTGTGTGTGTTATTTGGGTAAAGTGTGTGTGCGTAGCTGAAATCAAACGGTGCCTTTAGTTTGTCCCAATTGTCACTTCTGTTGAGATTCAATGTTCTCAGATGAGGACGGTCCAAAAAGACTCCAGTTGTAATGTCTCGTTTGGCCTGGTGGAGAGAGTGATAAGCCCCACTACAGAATGACAACATCTAAATTATTATTAAATATTATTATGTTTTTGTCTTTTGCCAAAACAAAACTCCTTGGTTGGTATCTGTGCCAGTAAAATGGCTGTGTCTCTTTTAAACAAAAGAAAGTGTCTCTAATAAAGTCATTTTATGAAAAGTTTTTTTTGTCTGTTTTTTATTTTTATTTTCTTTAAATAATGGTTTGATCCATTTTCTAATTGTCCAACACTATAATGTACTCGATTTTTGTTTGAAAAATATTACATTTATTGCACTGTCTATCAGGTTTGGACGTAAAGTGTACATCAAACTGATCAAAGTCGCACAACAACAATAGTGGAGAGGTTTGAAGAAAAGCTAGAGCATTTCTACAACGTTAAGATAAGATGTATTTTATTAATACCAGTTTAGGAAATGTTTTTGTTGCAGCAGCATAAAACTAAACAAGGCATTGCACATAATAACAAATTAAAAGAGTAGAAATAAACAATTCAAAAATAGAAACATCTGAAAATAGAAATAAACCAGCATTAGAGAGTAAGAACAATGTATAAACTGTATATTCCTTTATAATGCCCTTAAGAGCTGTACTTGACACAACAAATGGCATAAGGTACATTACCAATTACTTTCAAACTGTTTACTAAACAAAGTCAATGCAACCCAGGGGAGTTTGTTATTCAATTAACTTTAAGGTACATGCTTGGAAATTATAATACAGCAGAATAATACATAAACTAATAAAAGTGAAAAAACAAGAATGAGAAAGGAACATACTGAACTATACTTACCTATACTTGAGGGTATACTCGGTTTCAAAATGCATCACCTGATCCCCCAACACTGGCCTGACCTTAAATATAAAAACCCCAGGGTATTAACCTTGAAAAAGTCGGACGGACGAATATGTCCTCACAAGGTCTAACATTTGTACTTGTACTTCACAATGATAGGTAAACAAGAATAATCAAATACACACAGATTACAGTGTGAGCTACCAGGTTTATTCAAAAAAGGTCAAATATTAATAATGCATGTATATGGAAAGTGTAACATGACCTTCCTTTACCATTAAAAGCTTGGAAATATTTCAGATGATGCAGTAAAACATAATTTCCACTAGATAAAGATGTTTCATCCACATATGAAGTGTCCGATTGGATCTTTGATTTAACACTTTACACATAAAAATATACAGCAAAACAACAACAACATAGCAAATCAGGACACATTCAATCAACATAAATATTGCAAAAGCAGGGTAAAAAAAGGGTTTATCATTTCAAATATATCGCACTGTTTACAAATGTTATGATATTCAAAATGCAGTATGTCTGTACAGCCACTAGATGGCGACAGTGTTCCTAGTATCACATCTGTATTGCCCACCATGCAATTTTGGATGCTTTCAATATGTTGGGCACACACTTGCAGTCACATTAAATGCCGCCATACCTCTAACATTTTTTACTTGCACCTCACAGTGACAAGTAAACAAGAATACACACACAGATTAAGGTGTGAGCTACCATATTTATTCAAAAAGGTCAAAGATGAATAAATGCATGTATTAGGAATTCATTTAGAAAGGGTAACATGACCTGTACCATTAAAAGCTTGGAAATATATTTCAAATAATGCAACACAACACAATCTCCACTAGATGGTGCTGTTTCATCCACATATGAAGGGTTCAATTGGTTCTTTGTTTTAACACTTTACACCCTACAAGATACAGCAAAACAACAACAGCACAGCAAATGCAAAAGTACTGTTTACACCTGTTATGATATTCAAAATGCAGTATATCTGTACGGCCACTAGATGGTGACAGTGTTCTTAGTATCACTTCTGTATTGCATCGCAGAGGCTTCCCCACTGATGTACCATGCCATTTTTGTTGCTTTCAATATTTTGGGCACACACTTGCAGTCACGTTAAATGCCGTCATACCTCATTGTGCTCCTGAACCAGTTTCCTCTTTGTCGTTGAGCTACAGGCAACCCCAATACTAACCACAGTAGTGTTTGAGCCTCATTGGTCTCACTACGTCTGATTCATTCTGTCCACTAAATAAATGTGACTTCTAAACACCCACACCAGAGACATGCTCAACAATCCTCTGCGGGACACAGAGAAGAACAATTTTACACATTTGAAATACATCTAAATTAGCCAAATTACCATCATTTACAGACACCTACTTTACCTACTTGTGTTGGAGCGCTAGCCAATAGGAGCACCATAGTGTGGTTACGGGAGTAAACAAAGGAGTCCAATCAGTCAATCGGAATCATTTAGCTTTTCCAGGATGAATCCATATACATTTAGTAATAACTGCTATTTTAGATGTATTAAATGCTAAGTTGATGGTCTAACATGAATTTATAAATGTAGATTTCTAAACAATAAAATATAAAATACAGACCCCACAATCATCATGAGGAGCAGGAAAGAGAAATCAGATGACAAAATTAAAGTATGGACTTATCTCCTGCAAGTTTTTTACTCGAAGGAAACTTTAATTAAGTCGAGGTATTTTCGGTGAAATACGTGTAAAAAAACGCTAAAAAGGAGTATAACAGTGAAACAGATGAAAAGTACAAAGGATTGTTCTGAGTTTCAGATAAGAGAGAGAGAGCAGCAAAGATACGGGAGAGGAAGGTTTTTGAAGAGTTTCGACCTTGTGACAGAAGATAAGAGTCGACTTAATGAGACTGCGAGGGATCTGAGACCGTGTGATTAAAGTGTGAGAGGTTGGTTAAGGAATAATCTTGTCCTGAAGTTCATCATGTTGAGGTTCATCCAAGAAATGTCTGTAGCTACGGGCAAACACTGGTGGATGTACAACTGAAAGGACATCTGGCATAACAAATAACACTTTCATTTAGTGAGTGGTTTTTCTTTGGTACAACATTAATCCACCAATTAAAATATATAACATTTTTAATCTGCCGAGGAAGTTCTCAACCAAGTTTGGTTTCCGTATACTTTTTAGAAATACTGAGTTTTTCGTAAACAAAAAGTCTAACATCAATTTATTATATTTTGTGCCAATTTTACAGCTTTATCAGAAGATAATCTGTTGGAATTGGAAATGAAAACATTTGCGTTTACTAAATGTATGAGGATGTAATTAAACCTGGAGTGCTTTGAAGGAGAGTAATCGTTTAAAATTGTTAATATTATTATGGATAGTTTCAGTATTTACTACAAGCTTTATTTGTAAAGCACCTTTCAGTCCAAAGTCCTTCACAGTAGATTGACATCTCATCAAATAGTCACAATCACATAGGATACAGTTGAGAGTAAAACACATAGAAATAGACATAAAATGAGCATAGAAAACACATAGAATGTAACATAGATTCAATATAACATAATTTTGTCAGAAATATTAAAGTGACTCACTCACCAGATATATTATCACAAAGGTTTATATAGCGCAGTATGCACAACATAACTATCAAACACGACATACAATAGAAGGAAGGTTTGTATTACCCAAATCTAAATCAAATCAGGGACAGAGCCGTGATCAGCTGGAACTCTTTCCCGGTTCACATCATTCAGGAACATTCTCAAGTGCATTTTAAAAGATTGCTAAAAAATGATTTAAGTATTATAAAGTATATTTATTTATTTTTTTAAGTATTTAATTTTGTTTGGCCCTAGGATGGCGATAATTGGATGACCATTTTAGTTTTCTCTTCATTTCACTGTAAATTGCTATTATGAGCTGTTTTGTTTTAATTTTGTTGTATGTTAATGTATGTGTTGAGTGTGTGAGGACCCCAGGGAGAACAGCCAATGCTCATGCTAGTGCTAATGGGGATCCTAATAAAGACATAAAGACATATAATAGTGCATTATTATATATATTTAAAAAATTATGTGTCAAAAAATGTGAAACAATCTTAGAATAGTAATATAATAATATGAAGTCATAGTATAGTATGTTGAAATATAAGAAAAAAGTAATAATATACCAAAATACTCATAGTATTTTAGTATATTATCATCTGTCTTTGTTATGATCTTAGTTTTGTGTTTATTGTTTCTGTTTCATTTTGAAATCTCGTTTTACTCAACCGGTCTTCTTGATTGCCCTGATTCTCTCCACCTGTGTGTGATCTCCTTGTGTCTTACCCTGCCCTCACCTGTGTCTTGTTGATGTAATGAGCCAAGTGATCCTTGTCCTGTACTTGGTTCGTTTGTTAGCCTCTTTAGAGCTACTTCCTCTCTTTTACTGCGCTTGGATTCTACCTGTGGCTAAATCCGTGACAGTCTTATAATTATTTCGTAAATTTCCCCTCTGTAGGACGAATAAAGGTATTCTGATTCTGATTCTTTTTGGGCAGTTTTAAAGACAGAAATGTTCTTATGAGCCCCAAAATCGTATCCTTTAAAGGTTAAATGTAAACTGCACTTCAATTTCCACGAACAAATATAGAACACATGTGTCTTCAGAAGAAGCAGCGACCCTTTCTCTTTAGACTGTACATGTATGTCACATTCTTGTAAATAAAGTCCTGAAAGCCCTTGATCATATTCAGGTAAACCAAAGGTCACCTTCTGCATCTTCTGCAGCTCATTTGAAGAAGAAATATTCAGATACATGGAGGTGGTTTAATCCTCAAATCCTAAGTATTGGAGCAGATGTTTGGAAATGTAAAGCCTGCCTATCAGCGGGAAACATGCGGGACGCCTGCCAACATGCAGGAGGCAAGTTTCTCGTGTGCCGCTGATTAAACTAAGCTGAGCTGCGGTTTCTTTTTGACTGTCATGAGCCTGAAACATGTGTGGTGTGAGACATGACACTGACAGACAGAAAGAGAAAAAAGAGATGCTACAGTAATGTAATACCTGCTGACCTTTCTTTAAGCAGCTCGAGCATCAAAGACTCTTCTGCTGTTGGATTCCTGCATTTACAAACTAGACTCCTGAAAATAACCAGCTTTACATACAGCACTCAGAAGTACGTTTAATATTAAACCTTTATTCAACCAGGTGGTCCCATTGAGATCATCAATCTATGTTTCAAGGGAGACCTGTCCAACATGGCAGCAAGTAGGTTACAGCATGAGCATCAAACAACAGGTAACACAAAAGGACATGGTATGTACAGGGCTACATGTACACACCTCGAGACATTGACCA